AAGACTTGTTGGGATCGACGATCCAGCTCGTAGAATCACCAAATCGTTCTAACGATCCGATCCGCCTAAGGGGAAAGTCTGCGATGAAAAAAAGAAAATTTTCAAACCTAAATCGTTCCTTCTTCGGTCTTCCATGTGATTTTCAAATTGCGTGCGTTGATTAAGTTCTTAAAACGGCAGGATGCCTCTATTTTCCCAACTCTTCCCTATAATAACCCTAATATTTCTCAAGCTCTTCACTTCCCCACTTCTCATGTTATCCCTCTTTCAATCGCATCTTGGCTCTCTCCCTCTATCGTATCGCAACATACGAGTATCATTTCTGATAGCTTGGTGCGATAATTTTTTTTGGGAGAAGTAATTTCCTAATACGTACGCAAGTCAGTGACAGAGCATAAAGCTCCACAATAGGTACTCTATCTTTTTCTCATATCACAGGATACGTTTTTCCAATACCAATATACTACGCATATTTTTATTCAAGATTCAATATAGCAGTATATTTTACAGTAATGTTTTATTTTTTCATAAGCTTAATTTTGAACCTCAAAAAACAGTGATGGAAATGGTTTTTGTTTACTAAAAAATATGTTTGGATCAAGTGCAAGAATTCACAAGAAGGTTGTCGGGATGAAAATGGGTATCGCATGGGAGCATGGCATTTCAATGAGCAGTGATAACCGAACCATCAAATGCAAACATGGGAGAAGGTATTCAGCGGAGGGGTCTATCGCTTGAAACATCACTTAGCCGGAACTAACAAGGATGTCGGACCTTGTAAAAGTGTAAGCGACAAAGTCTGGAAACAAATGTGGGATATTTTAGCTTTGTTGCAAAAAAAAGTTAAATGCTAAGGCCGATAAATATGGAGATGATGTTGAAAGAGAAAAAGAGTAGAGAACGAGAATCCAAACGATCTCTTTAAAAGGCGAGGCACTTAAACCACCATGAACTCTACTTTCAAGAAGAACTTGCTTGAAGAAGCATGTGAGGCGATTTCTTCATTCATTACCAACAATGCAATACCATTTAATGTAGCTAATAGTGAAGAACTCATGAAGATTTTTGAATTAGTTGCTCAACATGGTCTTGGGTTCAAGCCTCCATCCTATCATGAGATAAGAGTCAAAAACTTGAACAAGTTGGTTGAAAAAACCAATTTCATAGTAGAGGATCACAAACCTTTTGGAAAAAATCAGGATGCAGCATGATGAGAGATGGATGGACTAACAAGAGTAAGAGGACTTTACTCATTTTTTTGGTAAATAGTCCTAAAGGTACAGTTTTTTTAGATCACTTGATGCATCTGGCATATCTAAAACAAGTGTTAAGATATTTAAGATGTTAGATGATCTTGTTGAAGAAATTGGGGAAGAAAATGTTGTCCAAGTTGGGACAGATAATGCGGCAAGTTATCAGGCAGCCGAAGAATTGCTATTGGACAAAAGAATGAATTTGTATTGGACTCCATGTGCTGTACACTGCATTGACTTGATGCTCGAGGATTTTGAGAAGAACTTGCCTTCACATAATGAGACAATTGCCTCTAGAAAAAAATTTACAACCTACATCTACTTACGCACTAGTCTCATCTCTTTGTTGCATACTTTTACTAGGCGTGGTGAACTAATTAGACTCGGTATGACTCGTTTCGCCACTTCTTACTTAAGATTTGGATGCTTGCATGATAACAAGGGTTCATTGGTAGAGCTAGTCACATCTGATCAATGGAAATCTAGTCAATTTGCGAAGGCTAGAGATGGAAAGTCCATTGAGGATCTGATTCCTGATAAAGGAGTTGTGCTTGGTTGATTCTGAAGAAAAGCCAGCAATGGGGCTCATTTATGAAGAAATTGACCATGCTAAAGAGTAAAGAGAATATTCAAAAGGCTTCTAAAGGTGTTAGGAAAAGGTATATTATTAATATAATTTATTTTATCTCTAGCTACCTTCCTTTGTGGAATATCATTGATGAAAGGTGGGATAACCATATGCATAGGCCTTTGGATGCTGCTGGATATTATCTAAACCCTGCTTTGCATTATAGTCCCAACTTTAAAGCTGATTTGGAAGTTAAAAGGGGGCTATAGGATTGTTTTAAAAAATTAGTGGGAGATGTTAAAGAATAAGCCAAAATCGATGTTCAACTTGAATATTTCAAAGCGAAAAAAGGATTTTTTTTTTGTGGTGCACTTGCAATGGAAGCACTTAAAACAAAACTCCGGCTCAATGGTGGGAATCATATGGTGATGAGCATCATGAACTACAAAAAGATTGCCATTCGGGTATTGAGTCTGACATGTAGTTCATCTGGTTGCGAGCATAACTAGAGTGCACCTGAGATGGTCCATCCCAAAAGAAGGAATCGCTTGAAACAAAAGAACATGAATGATTGTGTTTTTGTAATGGCTAATACAAAATTAGCGAAGAAAAAGCAAAAGAGGTATGGAAAAGATTATAACATTGATAAACTTGATTATGATGATGAATGGATTGTAGATGAAAATGATGGCTTTCCAGACTGATATTTCGAATGAAGGTCTACTTCAAGTTGAAGAGAAAATGGTGGAACTGATGATGCCTCATGTGATGAATTGGAAGTTCCTGCCCAAGTCAATGATGAAGATGCATTCATGGATGATGACTTCAATCTTGAAGATTTTGTTTAATGTCCTATTCTTATCCTCAATGTCTTGCAATCTTGCTTTGAACTTCTTCTTTGTTTTTATTTTGGAAACATATTTCTATTTTTATTTATTTGGACATTATGAAGATGATTTATCACTTTATTTTTTTTTTAATTATTTACATGTCTTATATATTAAATATTACTAGTACTCTAGGATCTTCCGATTCGAGTTATGATCCACGATTTACGATCCGCAGAACCCCCGCTATCTTAGCTAGGATCTCGAGTTTAACAACCTTGCTTCTTAGGTCTACCCATTCTCCCACCTCCGCCCACTATTGTAAGCATCTCGCATCTCTGCATTAGCGCCTCTGCACCTCGCCGCTTCACATGCTCAAATAACCTTAACCTAGCTTCCCGCAGCATATCCTCCACAAGTGTCACTCCCACCTGTCACTTAACAACCTCATTCTGAATCATGTCCAACCTTGAGGTGTAATGTCATGAACAAAACAAGCACTCCCAAATAACTGAGGTGGTAAAGAAAAAAGACCTTTGTGTGGAATAAGATGGAATATGGAATCTCATTATTGAGGACAGAAGGAAGGCATTCGGTTAATAAGATAGCATGTGGTACGTATGACATCAACCCATAAATGTACGAGTGAAGAGAGTGTATTAAACTGCCTCGCCCGTCCACCTCGACTGTAGCCGACGTGGCCTGCGTCCGCCTGAGATGCGGCTATGCTGGAGTAGTTCGTCCTTCTCATCTGTCCCTCTCGTCCGCCCTCACGGATTCATCCGTGGGCAATTTTAAAAAAAAAATTGACTCCGTCAAATTAAGAGCTGGACGCAAGAGTGATTCGGATGACCGGCGACGACTCCATGGGCGGCGGTAACAGCAATTGAACAGCGACTCCATCAGCGGTTGCTGCTTCTTCCCAGTTTCTTCCCATGGGCGGCGGTGACAGCAATTGAACGACCGTCCCCACTTTCTTCCCCTTTTCTTTTTTCTATGTCAAATTAATTTTTTGTCCTTTTTAAAGGTTTAATTAATTTCAAAGTTTTCATTTCCAATTTATAATTTAAATATTTTTAATATTGCACCATGGATGAATATGGTAGTGTTGAGGGTAAAATTGTTTGTGGGAAGGACGAGTAAGAAGCTGATGTGGCACGCTGCATGTGGGAAGGATGGCTGTTAGCTTTGCGGGAAGTCTTATTGGTAGTAACACAGTGTCGTGCAGTGGCTACCAGGTGACGGTTCCTTCGTTCAACAATACCGTTTTGGTGTGGTGAGTCAACACAAGAGGATTGGTGAGGCATTCCCTCGGGATTTCTGCATAATTTTTGGAAAATTTCAATTGGTTAAAAATGGTCTGTGAATTCAATTGAGACCTAAAAGCTGATGCCTACTCCAAAGAACAGATCTGAAATGTTGCCGGAGACTTCAGAATGTTTCAACGTGATGGCTGTTTGTGGGAGAGAATTAATATACAAGGAGAGGAAATATACACTAGTAGATGCAGAAGAAAATGACAAGAAGGTTTTCCGGATTTTTCCAGGCATAAAATGGCTCAGATACCATGTGAAATTTTAGAGATAAAGCTGATGAACACTCTTATTTCCTACTTCTCAAATTACAGAATACACACAAATATATAAGCTAAAACCTATTTAGTAAAGGTACGATATCATGGGTGCTTACCTCATGAACATGTCAATCTACAGGAATCCTACATCATTTACAACTATTTCACACTACATTTGACTTGGCATGTTCTTTAATGTAAGATGAAAAATGTTTCACTTCCATCTTTGCCCTTGGTGGTGTAGTAAATTGGAGAGACACGTAAGGATAAAATAGTCTTTTCATTGTAAAAAAGATAAAGTCTTTCCATTTAAGGAAACACAAAGAAAGATATAGGACGATCCAAAAAGGAAAATGAGAAGTAAGATATAGGAATGAGGGAGTAATAACTAATTAAGAAACCCTAGGTCTCTAACATTACTCTCTTCCTTAATTTGGACCTCGTCTACAAAGTGAAACATAAACAATTGTAAAAGAGGAATACTTTAAATCAGGACACACACGAATTAAAAAATTATAAAGCATCCAAACTACACCTACCTACCTCGCAGAAACCAGATCCCTTTGAGGTCATAGTAACCTACAAGTTGTAGGCGGTAAACTCTAGTCTTCGACCTCCGAACTTAGCTATCTAAGATTCTAAGGGCATCTCCTTGGTAATACATCGATATAAAAAGAAACATATCTCGTACCACACAAGATAAGAACAACAGCCACTGACATATATTCATGGGCACAAAGAGAAAATCTAAGTTAATATTATAGATGTAAGCAATTTACCTCAACAGTGCTTCTCCCTTCTTGAGCATTGTAGTTGACATTTGCATTTACAACTTGCTAGGAAAGGAAAATGTCAACTATATCCATCAAATTAATTGAGCACATAAGAAATTCTCTCTTCAAAGATCATATACGATGGACAAAATTAGAATAATTAAACACTTATAAACAAATAACCTCATCTTCCGGAAATACACCAATTACCCTTGCAATATATTGTTTATGCACCCTTCCAGATTCAATCTGAAATAAACAAACCACTTTTGTGAAAAGTTCCGAAAGCGGGCATGGGTCAAATACCCCCCCCCCCTCCCCCCAGCCAAAAAAAATCGTGGAAATAGAATTTTTCAACCGAACACTTCAACCCCAACGAATAACGCAAATAAACGAATTTTACATATAATAGCATNATCAGGACATCACTACCATGTCACTGCAATATACAGGTGGAGGCAGAACATGTGGTGCAAATGGAATCTCTTTGTGCTAAACTACAAAAATTTAAAAGGAGATTCTTGGTTGGAAGGGAGAAAGAGAACATGGGCATCCATTATCAAAATGGAAAATGCCTACAATGTGGTCCACCACCATCATGCACTTTTAAACGATTCATAGGGAGAACATCTCCATACAAGTAAATTGAGTTTGTGGAGAAAAACTAATTAGTGGGAGCATAATTATCATAAGGGGACCACCAGCTATCATTATCAAGCATGATCTGCATATCGCAAAGAATGTGGCTCTCAGCTTACCAAAGTGTTCTGTTTATCAATAATGACAGCCAATTCATCCACTCCAGTACTCCACTGGCTACCCAATCAATCACAAATATACTCTTGGAGTATATAGTAAATAAATATCTAGAATTGAATAGAAACATTTAAAGACTGGACTAAAAAGTAGTTAAATGAAAAAAAAGGGAGATAAGAAAGAGTAATTGAAAAAAGGAGTATTGTCATAGTATTAATTACAAATTAGTAAAAACAAAAACAAACCCAAAAAACTCATCCCTTGGTCCACCCCACCCAAAAAAGGTAAAGCAAAAAAACAAAATTAAAGCAAATAAAGAAAGCAAAGGAACGAAATGAAGTCCAAATGAACAAAACAAAGAAAGACAAGCTTACAAAACAGGACACCAAATGGAGGCAGATCTACTTTCCCCTGGCGGCAGTAGCAGCGGATCTATGTCGCGATGGTGGTGATACGATGGGATTTTTCAGATATAGGGTATTAAAAAAAGCAATCCTGCGGTTGCAAAGCATCTAAAGAGAAGGCGCACGCAGTAGTGAGTGTGAGAGGGAATCGAAGAACACTACTAAAGCCACCTATTGTTGGTCGCTTCTAAAGTTGTATGCTGATGGTGGATGCGGCCATGCCAGTATGCACAAAACCCGAGAAAGAGTTGCTACTTGCTAGGGTATTATTTAACTCTTTAAATGAAGACAAGGTGAGCGGGTTGCATCGAGCACTATAAGACTCAAGTCATGATGCCTTGCCTCTTGGCCTTGGGGGATCAGGCGCAGGCCTATAATAGCAATGGTGGTAATCTAATATGTTGGGAAAGTATGATGCAAGTTGTAGTTCTCAGATCGTGCATTGAAGTTAAGTGCCATATTATGACCTTGGCAACATGTGATCTAATATGTTTATAACACTTATTGTCTGGGACTACACCATGATAAGGTGGCTCAAATGACTATTTGTGATAACCAAGCGACCATATGGAAGAGGATTTTTTAATTTAATAATGGAGAAGATTATGTCGCAACAAAGTTTTACAAGCTTCACTAGTTTTATTTTTTGTTGAGTATAATTATTACGTAGTGCATTTCGTAGTTATGTCCATGGTTGTTAAGTCGACAAGTCGAGTCGAGTCGGTGAAGGGGAGACTAGTGGACTAGTCGGCCAACTAGTCGTAGACTAGTCGACAAATCATAATTAGTATTGAAATTTTTAACATTATATATATATCTTCATTCACCCAAGATAACTATATATATTTATATGACAAAATATCATTACCAAAATAGAGTTATGTTTAAAGGTAGAACATAAAGTCACTAAAAAATTAATAAAACTGAAAAATTAAGAGTATAATATACTTTAATAGTCTAATGAGCCAAATTAAAGAAAATTAAACTGAATTAAGAGTATACTTTAATGATAAATAATTAAAGATAGAGAGATGTTACTTATGGATAGAGAGCGTGTGAGTACTAGAAGATGAAGAAGAATTTATTCCAATAAATTGATTCTTGAACTGCGAACTCTGGAAGATGTCGATGAAGGAGATGTAGCGATTTGGGAATAGTTAAATGTTGATTCACTGGATTTTGATTGTGCTGATTGAACTGATCGAGGGAGGCTATGTTTTATTGAGTAATTATTAAAGTTTAATGAAATTTGGGTCGGGTTGGGTCAAATTGGGTTGGTTCAGACTAGGCAGGTTTTCTTCACATACTAGTCATTGCCTAGGCGTCGCTTAACTCGCCCAGTCGCCTAGTCTACCCTAGTCGCTAGTCGACGTGCAAGTCGCCTTTCAGAAAACGCTTGGACGACTAGTTGTCAACTAGGCGACGACTTGACAACAATGGTTATGTCTGATCACATTTATGTGTTTAGGGAAGGTCAAAGGTGAGTAATCGCAAAAATAGTATTGGATTGTTTTAGCTGCAACTTTGGCAATATCTTCCTAATGTGTAGGTGTCTAGGTGGTGGCATCAATGGAGACATTCTCAAACGTTGGACTAGTGGGGGCAACACATTTGTTGAGGATGGTGATTGTGAATGTGACAATGACAAAGTGGGCTTTGGAGATGTTAGTGGCTAAGAGGGGTAGGTATGGGATTACGACTGTGGTTGGTCAATATGAGGCTGAAACCATGGAGTAAGGTTGTCAAGGGGCAAGTGGTAAATCATCGAGATGAGGAGCTGAGACGTAGTGCTTGCTACTAGAGGTCTCGAGTTTGACCATGAGGCCTTGAATGTGGTCACTAGCTTGACCACCCTTGCAAGTAAGTGTTAGATTTAATTAGGTTTGTTCACATATAACTGAATGGGTAATGGGTCAATGTTCGGGTCAGTTAGTATAGAGTCGGTTCTCTATTTATATTTAGAGAACACAAAGAATCCTATACAATTCACAACAATAAAATATTTGTCTGTATTGCTTTGATCAAATCTGTCAAACAAGTAGTAGGGGGTGTGCGATCTACAGCAGAAGGGATCGGTCAGATCATAAAACAGAGCATTTGCAACTTCCTCGACAACAAATCAGAAATCTTTGACTAGATTCTTCCTCGCTTAGGACAAGAATAGCAAGTGGCTAGTTTTTTTCTTGGGCAAAAGTATTCCAACCAAAAGGAGCAGGAAAAACGAATCAGTGGGGTAGCTTTTGTTTAGCGGCTTGGAAGCATAGTTTGTAAGGCATCGCCTAGGCGATAAGGCGTTGTCACTGGGACGCCTTGTCTGCTCACCTCGCCTAGAAAACCTTAAGGCAATCAGGCGCTCGCCTAGCCGTCGCCTTACCTCTCCTTGATGCCTTGGGCCCCTTTAAAATTTTGAAAAAACCCATTTTTTAGAGCAGCCCAAATGCTTTTAGTGTAGCCTTATAGACTTAAACTTATCTTCTCTCTTGGTCTTCTTTGTCTCGATCAAGCTTCCTTAAAATGTATAAGACCTATATATATATATATATATATATATATATATATATATATATATATATATATATATATATATAGGTATGTATATATATATATAGGTATGTATGTATGTCGCCTAGGCGTATATATATATATATATATATATATATATATATATATATATATATATATATATATATATATATATATATATATATATATATATATATATATATATATATATATATATATATATATATATATATAGGTATGTATATATATATATATATATAGGTATGTATGTATGTCGCCTAGGCGTGCACCTAGTCGCCTAGGCGATATGAAGGTCCGCGCCTCACCTCGCCTTGCCGCCTTACAAACTATGCTTGGAAGACATAAAAGTAAGGGCCCTGTCTTCTGATTGATGGTCGATTGCACGTGGCTTACGACCCTGGAAGGAATCGAAGTCTTTTCAACATTAATGGGATTTGGGAGGAGTAAATCACTTAGGTGTTTCAAGTGCAACGAGCAAGGGCATTTTGTGAAAGAATGTCCAAATGGGATCAAAAGGAACACATTGCAAATTTGATTCAAGATGATGATGAAACAACGATGTTGTGAAGATCAGTGTGAACAAACAACGATTAGGGGCATGATTGTTGGATTTAATAAGGTTTGCTCACATATAACTAATGGGTAATGGGTCAGTTAGTAGAGAGTCGATTAGTATGGAGTCGGGTAATGTGTCTTTCATTTTTAGTTAATTAAAAATAAAAAATAAATAGGCACTTTCTAAAAGATAGGTCCAGGTAGTTTCTTAAAGTTGTGTTGGTTTGTAAAAATTGTGTTGGTTTGTAAAAGTTGTGTTGGTTTGTTCTCTATTTATATTTAGAGAACACAAATGATGTTATACAGTTCACAACAATAAAATATTCTTTTGTCTTGCTTTGATCCGATCTTGTCTAACAGTAAGAACTTCAAGGATTCCATGGTGGCAGTAAAGGTTTTCAACTTCTGAGTGGATGGATGATTGTGAAGCCCAAATGCAAATCAAAATATCCTTCATATAAACCGACGGTGGCAAGAGAACCAAGAAGTTATGTTCCTGGGCATAACTACTTGTCAAAGGGCATTCATTATGGCATGAGGGCTCCAACAAAGAGCGGGGTTTATGTATGGCGAAGGTTACCACCTTGCACAAGAAGTGGTTCTTAGAGGATATATTATTAGAACCTTAACTCCTCCTATAAATTTTGGATAAATTTCACGTATGGTACCTGAACTTTTAGCTATTTTTCGTTTTGGTACCTAGACTTCATTTTCTTTCACCAAAATACCTGAACTTTGAAAATCTTTCACAAATGGTACCTGGAGCTGGTTTTCAGGTAATCATCAGGTCATTTGGGCCAAATTTACAATTTTATATATTTTAAAATCTTCAATTTGACCCCATTTCTTTTTCCTTCTTCTTTCATCCCTGTTTTTCTTCTTCTTCCTTCTCTCACCCCTTCTTTTCTTTTTCTTCCTTCTTTCACCCATTTTTCTCTTCTTCTTTATTAAACCCTCAACTCACAACAACCCACCCCTCCCTACTTGTTTAACCCCACCACCCTTCTTAAGTCCCCTCTTTTTTTTTAGTTTTAACTTCCTCTTTAAGTATTTTTTGTGTTTTCAAATTTTTTGTTGAATAACTTTCATAAATTTTTTCAATTTTTTTTT